GCGTCAACGTCTTCGGTGCCGAACACACAAAAGTCTTCAGCAAAATCGGCGTCCCTGAAACAGCCGATCGGCTCTGCGCATTTCGAAGGACCAATGGGGGGTCGTTTGGTGGTGATACCATTTTCACCCGGAGGTCTGTCGATTCTATACTTGTAGAGTATTGGAAACATTCGTTCCATCACGATGAGAACATCGTTCTGAGATTCAGCTTAAAAACGTATCATTTGCAATGCGTCATTAATCACCGTTATAACATACCGAAAATTATGGATAAGTCAAACAGCATAAAAAACTCTGAGACATCTACCAACTTAACAGAATCGTAAATTTTTGAGTATTAGAGGTAAGCAAACATAAAGAACATGAAATTCCCGGGATAAACCATACGCTGCAACGTTCATACAGTGACTACAAATACAATTATCAACTCACCTCCGGTAACCGTCACGCTGCCTGTGGTGTGGATTCGCAACGTGGCCTTAGGTTTAACACTTTTCCACAGCAACCCGATGTTAAGCTCCGGCTCATAGCTGAACAAACGAAACATGACTTGAAGCTTTTAAAAGGAGCTTTCGTATAGCACCTGCTCTCCTTTGGATATTCATGAGCCAGGTTTCTGATCCGAACTCCAAACGGCAGTTTACATGTTGCCATGATGTTCGTCACACGATAGTTAGCAAAGCGCACTTGAGATCCCATGATTTTTTGTATCATGCGGGCAATACAGCGAGACGCTTTCTTTGCTTCTTGTTCGCTAAAAGAATTTCACATTGTTTGACTGAATAGGATTTTGACTGAAATTCAAAAACATATACGCTGACAAAGAAACAGTTTTATCTAAAGCGTTTTGAATTTAAATTCAAATTTTCACTCAGTAAACGCATCAATTTTTAAGGTATTTCTCTTTTATATAAAATAATTCCATGATTTACGGTACTTTGAATTACAACGATTCATTAGCAAAACTTTTAATTAAAACGGTGCATTTATTTGGCAACCCTACGCGATGAATGAGTACGCGCGAGTGTGCTCGAATTTCTCTCACCTGCGCAAACGCATAACCAAGGGCATTCAGTGCCATGTAGAGAGTAAGGTGTTTCTACGTTCCGATATTAATTTAGAACGGTTGCCAATTTAACTCATTATGTCTTCAAAAAGAAACCAACCAACTAAGAAAAGAGAAACACTGGTTTCAGAAATAATCCAAGCCTATCGTAAATTATTAAGATTTGCGAAGGCGGATTAAAATTTTGTGATGTGGCTATGAAAATTAACTTAGCTCAAATCACTGTGAAGACTGTAATCAAAGAGAAAAGAGAGGATTCTCACAGACGTAAAAAATGCCCATCACTAAATTCTGCGGTTATTCCAAAACGTCTTGTGTTCTGAAAATTGTTTCAGAAACGGAGACTTTAATAAGAATTTTGTGTGATAACCAAGTTAGAGTGAATAGCTCTCCTGCAGATCAAAACACCACATGCAATGAAGCGAAACTGATTTTTCAAAGCCTAAAAGACGAGTATGGAAAGTATGGAGAACGATGATACTTTGTAGTTAGCAATGGCCGGTTTAACAGATTCAAACAACGTTGTAATTGACACAGCATTGCAGGGACTGAAGAACTGGCGAATGCTGATAAAGAAGCTGCCCTTTCTTTCCCATAAAAACTGCAGAGAAACAGCATTACTGTAAGACAACTTTTTATGTTGATGAAACGAGATATTCTGAAAAACGATGTCTAGAAGGACGTTTATAGCTTAGAGGAAAAAACGGTTTCAAGAATTAAAGCGGCAAAAGATTTCCTATGATACTTGGTGGTGGGAATGCTGCCGGTGATTACAAACTGAAGTCATCCATGATCCATCAGTTTGAGAATCTTAGAGCTTTGAAGTATAATTCCAAAGCTGACCTTCCCAAAACGATAAGGCATGGATCAGCGCAGCTGTCTCCGAAAATTGGTTTGGCCACTATTTCAACCGAAGCCGAGCGCAATTGCCGTTTTCAGCACCTATTATTCAAAATGATGCCCAGCGTCGACAATGCTCCGGGGTATCCTCCAGAAACTGTGGCAGATTTCTATCCTCCAATAAAATAGTGCTTCACCTCCAAGAATAAGTCTGATTCAACCATTCGATCAGGGTGTGACTAAAGCATTTCAGGTTAACGATATCCGACAATTCTTTGCTCATTTGAATGCAGCAATGAAATAAAACAATATGACGACTGTGAAAGGGTTCTGAAAGGCTTTTAACACTGGCTGCAGTGAGGATCACAGAAGTCTCAAGCTGAAGTTTGTGAAAGAACCATGAGCGGTGTAAGAAAAAGCGTTGTACATGCGTATTTACTCAAAATTTGATCACGGCTCCATAAACTGATCACGTTGCTGACGATACAGAAGGGATCACACTTGTTTCACGTCACTATTTAGAGACTGACGCCGAAGAAGACACGGAGCTATCGGACTCCCACAATGAAGAGCTCACACTAAATAATATTATAGAAATTCACAACCAAAAGGCTGTCGAGGAAGCTGAAAAAGCTGAACCGGAACGGACCATCACGAGAACAGTCGGAAAGTTAACTGAAGGCCTTGATTTGATTGGCGCCAGTCTGAAGGTTCAAGAAGAATCGACTTGAATGAAGACCGTGATGCAACCAATAGACAAGGGGTGAAAAGGCGATCGCCGGTTACAAGGAAATGTCATGGGAGAAAAATATCTTCCAGAAATCCCATCAGACTTCAGTGCTGGACTTTGAAAACCATTTTCCTTTAAGTTAAATCTGCTGCATGTCGATTTTATTTTAATTAATGCATGTTTTTGCGATAAAAACATCATAATTCGCGAACAATTTCTCCATTTTTTGATCGAACTGACTGTCAAGTACAAATTATGTCACTAATATATAATTATATGAACTTTTCTATCGCGATTTATGTCGCTTTGATATAAGCCATCGGCTGTGGAACCACATACGACGTAACCTTGGGATGTTACTGCACCCGGCGAATATCAGGAATAAAATTACCAAAAAAACCTAAGTAACATTAAAAAGACCGTACTGTAAATTGCTCGCTGATTCACTGTTGAGAACACCAAATAAATATTAATGGTTCATTGCCTATGCGTATCGCTACTCACTCGGTAGCATCATTAGGGCACAATTCTGACAAGAAATATTTCTTAAATCATTTAAAATAAGTTGTAAAATTTTTCTTTACTGTTAGACTTATAGTGAAAAATTAACTAGAATACATAACCATAAAAGGATCATGTAATATATAAAAGTCGTAACAAACAAATGTAAATGCGAACTCTTCAGAACGAAATATTACAAATTACCATAAAATCCAACTCCAACGATCACCAGAAGTACTCAAAGATAAAGCCACACATGATTACACTACGAATGAAATCTAAACTCCGGACGAACTCCGCCATGGCCGGTCTCAAGGCCGGATGAGAAAAGAGGACGGTTGGAGACCGTGGCAAGTCTCCGTAAATTTCAGCCACCTGCCACTCATGGTATGGACGCCATCGAAAAT